TAGGCTCATTATTCTCATACATATGTATAAAGTACACTCTTTTACCCTCTCACTGTTTTCTATCCCTAAATAGTATCTTGCAAAGTAGGTACTCTACCACTTGATCCATACCTCCAGTCCAATTTGCTTTGGTTATTTTGGAGATGAGGCCTAGCAAACTATTTGACTCAGCTGGCCTCCAACTATGACCTTCTCCATTTTAGCCTTCCACATAGCTAGGATTACAGGAGTGCACCACTGGTGCACAGCTTGTAGGTTTTGACTTAACATTTTATGGAAAGGACAGAGGGTTGTGACTAATTTAGGCTTGGTTTTGAAAAATTTATATTCTCATAGGTCTAGAAGCCAGAAGTAAAAATTCAGTGTATCAGCCAGACCACGCCTTCAGACTGCTCCAAGGGAAAAATCTGTTCCTTTCTTCCAGCTTCTGGTGGCTCTAGGCATCACTTGGCTTTTGGCTCCATCACTCCAATATCTCCCTCTAAGATTACATTGCTTTATGTTTTGTTTGAAATATCCTTCTACCTGTGTTTTATAAAGATACATGTGATCCATTTAGGTAATCCAGGGTGAGAGCCTCCTTTCAAGCCCTTCAACTTCATATCTTTTTTAACATAAGAAAATATTTATTCTTTTGTTATTTAAGGTATTATTAAAAGTTTTAGGGATTAAGATGTGTATATGTCTTTTGCAAGGTCACCATTCAACCCATCCCAAGCTCACTTTTCTTTCATCAGGCTAGCAGAGACTCAGGAGAGGCTATACTGGAAGAAAAGGGGACAGTTTTTCCCTGGAAAAGATTTGATTTGCTGAATTATCAAGAATGTATGTATATATACATTCTTCTATAGACAAACTTCTAACATCCAAGTAAACCGAGTTTATTGTTCTATAGTATTCCTCCTTTTTTCATATGATTCATTTACAGCATGCCTTTCTAAGCTTTTCAAGTTGGAAATGAGAGAAATGACAGTTTAAGTGACTTTCTCTTCCAGTGACATTTGTATCTTAATTAGACATGCACTGACTAGAATTCCAGAGACTTGTGAAATAAACTCATGATCCACATTTTACAGATGGAGACACCAGGGATCTGAAAGGTTAAGTCCCTAGGTAACTCTGGAAGACAGAGAGAGTCTTTGAGACCAAAGAACTGATTCTCCCAAAGGTGATATTTTAAGCCCTGAGCAACCAAGAAGGTCTGTGTGTGTGCATGTGTGTGCACATGTGTAATTTTGTGTGAATGGTGGGAAAAGGAGAAAAGCTTGTGAGATTTTCTCAAATGTTATATATTAATTAGAGCTAGAATAAACTCGTAAAAATCAAACCAAATCCCCAGATTTTAGCCCCCCAATATGGGTCTCTGTTAACTTGGGTCTCTGTGTAACTCAACCAAAAGTTACATAGCTATTTAATTTCAGAATTAGGTAAAACTAGAACCCTAGGTCTTACTTTCCAATTCAGTACTTTTTACACCATTCTATTAAATATGTACTTTTAGTACTGATTCACAATATTTTCCTAGGAGGCTTTTTTAATTTGCATTGTTGCTTTGAAGATTCAATGTTCACATACTCAGAACTCCCACTACCCTCCAAACCCACTAATCACCATCATATGAGAGATCCGATTATCAATTATTTGTGTCCCACCTCAGTAGCACATTTAAACATGAACATAAAAGAAAGTGATCCATATTTGAGGGGGCTGAACCTAAATTACATAAGTGTCTATCTCTATAGACTAAATTCTCTAATGATTCCTTCCCTTCTTTTTCTGTCATCAAGGTTGCAACCACTCTGCTATAATTACTTTTGCAGCATTCTTAACACATAATTGACGTATAAGGAACTGCATATTTCAGTATAAAAGTTGACTTTTGACATATGTATACACACATGAAACTCACCAGAATACCCATCATCCCTTAATGTTTTTCATGCCCTGTTATAGTCCTCCCTTCCACTACTCCCCTCTTGCTGCTCCTCCTTCCCTTCTTGACTTCACTTGGCAATGGTAAAATATGACCAGATTCTCTGAATCTGAGCCAAGAGTGAAAAACTTTCCTTGGGCCTTACTTCTTTCCTCCCAAAGACCTTTCTTTGCAGTTGTATGCAAACTCCTAGATAAGATCAAGGGCCTTAAGAAAGGTACAGGGAAATTGGAACTCTTGAATAAATTGCAAGGAATAGCCTAAAAATTGCAAATTACTTAAGGATAAAGAGATGTGGGGTGAAAACATATTTCTTAAGGGAACATTTATTTCTTATTATAAAACAACATAAATTTGGAAAATAATGAAAAGAATAAAATCCTCCACAACCTCATTTACCCTAAATGTACGGTATGTTGTCACTCCTGTCTCTTCTCCCATCAGGAAGAAATATTCCTTCTTGAAGCCTACTTCAAGTGCAGCTTTTGAGCTTTGGTCTTAGTCTTCTTTTGTGTACATACCTCTGACATATACCACCATAATCTAGCCATAAAACCTGAACCGGTGGATATATTTTTCTTAGGGCTCAGAGAAAGAATGAACATGTCTTCTTGGAGGAAATGGCTGCAATGCAATATGTAATTAAGAACAAAAGCTCCAGTTCTTGGTTTTGTTTGCATATTATAGAAAATCAAAATCTATAAAACAATGAAATGTCTCTTCTCTATGAAACATAGAGAACAGAACTAAAGAAATTCCAGGGTAAATTCAACTATTAGAGCCAAGAGTTTGTTTTTTGTGGGGTGGGCAGTAGGGATGAAGAAACTAAGCTCTGAGTGCTTATAGACAACTCCACCTTCCCTCCACTAGATTTGAAGAACTCATTCAATGCTCATTTTCTCTTCTTTTTTTCCTTTCATTTCCTTGCTTTTGCTTTTCTTTCAGTACAGGGGTTTGAATTCAGGGCTTTGTGCCTGTGAGGCAGGCACTCTGTCTCTTGAGCCATGCCTGCAGTCCTCAATGCTCATTTTCTATGTTTATTAACCCAGATGATCTGCCAGTCAATGAGTATGCTATGTAGTTCACCCCAAATTTGTTCAAGACATGGTGTAGAGTAGAATGTGTGTTGTTCTGGGAGTTAAGATATCCAAGCATAGTACCTGGCACAGAGCAGGCACTAGTAAATAGTCATTAAATCAGTGGACCTGAGTTCTAGTCCTAGATTTTATCATTAACTTACTGCAAAGTCAGTAACTTTTTGAAGAGAAAAGGAAATTTAAATTAATCTATCCTAATTATCATCTCTCAATAAAAAGAAGTGAATTGATTTGCCAAAGACACTTAAGTTCTTTTACTCTCTACTTTCTTAAACTACACAATGGGGATAGCGATTCCTGTGTATCTCATAAAGGTACTGCGTCAAGTAATATAATAAGCATACATATAAGGCATTATTAAGATTGTTAATAGAAGCTCCAAATTCACTGACTGGAGAGTAAGAGAACTAGAAAATGAAGGTTGCTTTCCAAGGTGGTAATTAAACACTGATTGATGTTTGAGCAACTTCTATGGTATAATCAGATACCAAACGAATAGAGAGGAATCCTTTGAGTTTGAATCTATCACTAAAGACTAAGAAGATCACCCTATGTAGCTACAGTTTCTCATCAGCATCTGTCTTGCTATGTGTCTTAGGAAAGTGACGTGATTGCTCACACCTCACTGTCCTTATTAGTAAAATGGGACAATTGATACCATTTTCATAAATTTGTTGTGATTAATATATTCCCAAAAGGTAGGGTCAAAGATGGAAGGTTCTCCCTTAAATCTTTTCAGCACTAATGATGTATCCCCAGCAGCAGCCATGAAAAGTAAACCCTTTTTCTGAGATTTTCCTAAGGAGAGAGAAGATAAATTTCTTTTACTCAAAGACAGGTAATTGTGCTCAAAATTCTGATCTTCATAAGAACTTTGAAGATGCATCTTGAAAAGGAAAGTTGGGGTTTGATTTCTTCCTTTTTTAAAAAAACTTTCATCAACCTTTAAATCCTTTAAGCAACCTCAATTTAAAAATGACTCAGAGCCTAGCTTTTGGTCACTTTAATATGCAAACAGTATACTGGACCGACACCAAAAATTCTAGGCAGCCCTGCTCACTGCAGCACTTTCCCTGACCCAGATTGTGTGCTTGCCACCTGTAAACTGCAGCTCTTTGAGTTATGATGTAGTGACATAATATGATATGGGTAAACATAAACAGGTTGAAAGGTGATGGCAGGGATGGCTACGGAACAGTTCACTGTTCTTTGTGCTTAAGTAAATCTGACTGGCACTGCATTATAACAGAAATAGGAGTAGAAAGATAGAAGGGTAGGAAAGTTTATACTAGGAAAGTTTATACTATGTCTTAGAGATCTGCCTTGCTTATCACTCAACCAAGTTGGCCTGTATTGTTTTAGTCTGCTTTTATTATTTTAACAAGATTTGAAATTGACACTGCAGGTTGGAAGTTCTGAGATAAGGTAACTGATGACAGACAAGTATGATTGAGAAAGAAAATGGTTTTTTTATTTGCTGTTTTTATTAGCCAATGACAATGGATCAGAATCACCTCCTGATGATTTTTTAAAAAGTTGTCTTGTCATGAAAACTCTTCTCAGCTTTCAAATTATACACTTGAAAATGTATCTAGAGACAAATTTCTGCTTACTTTATTCCTACCCCCCCCCCAAATAGCATAAAAGAACACATTTAACATCAAATAATAAACACAAATGTGCTCCCTGGCAGAACTGTGTTTAATTCTGTTCACAAGCAAGTTTCTGAAATTATAGTTAATATAGCTTATAACTAAGCTTCCTGAGTAACTGACATATAACATGGGAGCGTTCTGTGAATAGTTTCTAAAATTAAGAGTCCTGTGAAATATCTCTAACCAATTGCATGTCCACTTGTTCAGAATACCGCTTGACAAGGAATTATACCCTGTGCCAACTCCCCTGCTGACATCTTAGTTACCAAAGAGACATTGCTAAAGGAAAGGCACTTCCCATTTCTCTTTGCCCTTTCATTCAGAGACTATGACCTGTTGTATCTCAATAGGCTGAAATCCACGCACAGTAGATGGAGTGGTGAAAAATGTGTTAGACAGTTCCCCAGGGCTGATGGAGCCAGAGTCACTTTGCACGGAGCCTCCACTGTTCTCAAACTGGGAGATTTTCTTTTTGATCATCTTTCTCTCCTTGGCTCTGCGATTCTGGAACCAGATTTTCACCTGAAACACAAAATGCTTTGTATTTAATGGCACAACATAATGAATGCAATTAACATAGTGATTACTGATATTGCAATGGGACTTTAGCATTTACAAAGCCTTGTCACTCCATTTGAGTCTCACAATGACCTTGTGAAGTATGCCCATTTAGCAAGTTTTTTTTTTTTTAAAGCCAGGCTCAGAGAGGGAAAATATCTTGCAGAAAATGGAGATGAAGTTTAGGGCTACTGACTCTTAATACAGTGCTCTTTATGCTATACTTTATCTACTTCCTCTTTGCATCAGTCAAAATAAATACTGATAGAGTGAGAGATACTGAGGATGCTGTAAGAGGGAGGGATTTAAATAGTACAAGTGATTACAACCAGTCATTAAAAGAAACTTCCTAATAGTAAATGTTAATGAGACATAGAATTGAATGAACAAGGACCATGAGATACCGTTTCTCTCTTGTTGGAGATAAAGACCAGTGATGTTAATGTGCCTACACACATAGTTGAAATGTAAGCTTTTTGGAATAGGGCAATACGGTGATGGACTTTACCATTCCAGAAATCTGTGATTCTAGGATTACTCCTAGACTTAAGTGAGAAATAACCAGGTAGTTATGTATTCTTAAAGTTTGAACAGCTGGAAATGTTGATCCCTGTAATTTAATCTACATTGAGTACCCAGGGTGAGTTAAATTTGAGTCAGGCATCATTCATTGGATTATGTAGACTTTAGAAGATTAAATTTCCTACCCAAAATAGCAGAAAAACTTGGTACAGGTTGTCAACTGAGCACATTGGTGTTTAGGTACTCTTACAGTTTGATGCTAGGAACCAGATAATTGCCATTGTTACCAAATCTCCACTTTGTACATTGTTTTTTGACTACTGGAGGAACCAGATCAAGGTTTTGACTTGATTGGTCCATTCAATAGTCAATAAATCCACTAACAAGTGAAACTAAGCTGGGAGTCCAGTAGGATGAATGTGCACTTTAGGAGAGCTTGGAGAATGTCTTGGTTCTCTGTTTCATTTTCACCCCCCACTTACAGACTTCCCCCAAATCTCAGTCTATTGAAATGACTATATGGGACATGTTGGGTGTATTTCTGGGATACCTGTCTCTCAGAAAGGCCCAGATTAACTGCCAACTCTGATTTTCTCCGGATGGTGATGTATCTATTGCAGTGAAATTCCTTTTCCAGCTCCAACCTTTGATGATCTGTGTAAACCACACGATACTTTTCTTTTGTCCTGGTTTTTCCTATTGGAGGAAAAAGCATTTTATTTAATCTTATTCTGTTCCTTTGAAGATTATTTTAGTTAAAGGAATCATAGCCACTTTTCCTATCCTTATTTATTACTTTAAAATACTAAGCAAATATATTTTTGAACCAAATATGTCATAAGTTCATTTGTCTATTAAATACATTTTTGTCTGTTGTTGAAATATCTATCATATAGATACAAAATTCATATCTTTATCTAGCTGGAAGTAGATATAGACACTCATCCATATATCTATCTACATCTTTCTATATATGAAGCCAATATCCTATGCATTAACATTTCTCCTAAAATGTTCAGTCAAATTACAATCACTCTAAATGCTTAAACATTTAACCCATGATTTTCATTTAGTTTCCACTGACAGCACATACCTTTGACTCCCAGTTCAGTGTGCTAAATATTATTCCTAGTTTAAACTTGTTGGGAAGTATAAAAGTGGTTCAAATATGGCAAACTATTCAGGGATTGACATCATATCTACATGTATGGTAGTACAGAATTTGATTTGGACAGTAATTCTAAAAGAAAATATTTATTGTCACTTAGTAGGTTCTATTTCAGAAGAGCCCTTATTACTTATCAGAAAAAATAGGTTCTTTTGGTAGTCTTAAGCCAATTTTTTTTTTCGCAAGTGGATATTGAATGGAAGGACAGAGTGTTGACTTAAGTAAAATAAAGTGAGTATTCCATGTCTTTTGAAAGGATATCCAAACATTTGCTTTGTGTTACAACATTTAACTAATTTCTCATGCCCTCCTGCAAATAGAGTTTTATTCCTCCTTTCAAATTTTCCTAAGGTGATTAAGAAGTTTCTCTTTCTTTTCAGTTTCTCTGACCCCTCCAGGATCTTCCTTCTTTTCTCTATGGCTTTTAGAAACTCCTTCTGATCTTTCCTGGTTGTTTTGATGTGAGGTTTTGGGGGGCGATCTGAAGGACAAAGACTTCTTTAAAGTGGCTCCCTAAACTCCATTGAGGTGTTAAGATGCAGCACAGGCCTAACAAAGGAGCTACATAGCATCAGATCCCATCCCGAACCCTCTTTACATTCAGGAACACCAACCAATTGGTTTGGAATTTACAAGCCCTAAACAAATGTCAGACACCCTTTCATCTCCAGGAAAGAAAAAAAAGGACCCAATGCAGAAACAAATTCTACTTGAGAAATCTATCTTATGATTAAACAAAATGGCTGAATAACTCATGGGCTAATGAACTAACACAATTTCCCCCCCCTTAAAAATGGAAATTGATTAGCTCAGTCAGTAAACTTGATCAAAGTTCCAAAATTTGAGTTGGCTTTCTAAATCCAAACAGAGATCTAGGAAACCAGGAGTCTGGCTTTGGGTGTGTTGCAAAGACAGAATATATATTTGGGGACAAAAAAGGAAACCTGAGGCTTAGTTTATTTTCAGAACCTCAAACCCTGGAATCAGGGAGATATTTCCTAAAATCCTTCCTAATCCCAAAGGGTCTGAGTGTTTAAATTCTAACTTGAGGCAGAGAGGTTAAAATTCAACTTCTGTGTGTCTGTGTTTTCTACTCTTTGATAATCAGTAAATATAACCAGACTTCAAGAACTCTGGAAAGGTTGGCGTCCTTCCCCACCCCCATTGGTCATAAATTCCCCTCTTGTAGTTTCTTCTGAGGACAATAAAGTCAAGACCAGGCCTCTTTATTTGCCATGAAAATCCTCACCCTTTCCGGCAATATAACCCCTGAAGAAAGGGGGGATGAGGAAGAGCCTGGGTGCATATCAAAGCCAAGCTAAGTGTTAAACAGGGTCTGTAGCCCCAATCTGACAGATAAGACCTAAAATCCCAAGAAGACATAGCTCAGGAGATACACTAACTGCACAGTTTACACAGAGAGATAAATTCAAATTTCCTGGTACTCCTCTTGTGTCCTCCTCTTCCAACTGCCTCTCCTTCCCCACCCCATTGCCTCTTCCCTTTAAATGACTGAAAGGGATTTGGACACTTTCTAGTAGAGAAAGTGTCACTAAGAGTTGTGACACTTGCTTTTATTGTTCAAGACATTCTCCTAGTCTAGAGACAATGACATTTCTGAGAGTGAGTTAATTTAGGAAAGGAATAAAGTTTAAGATTTATTAAAGAGGTACTTTCATCCCTCTGTAGTGGGAATTTCATAATACCCTCCCCAAAGACTTGGACAAAACTCCGTAGTTCAGTATGGATGGAGTCTTTCCTATCACCTAGGGGACACTGTCCTCACAGAGTTTGTAAACCAATGTCATCATATATGATGACTTATTGTCTGTCACCTTAAATGAATTTAAAATGGGGCTCATTGAAGAGATGTCTGAGAATGTACTGTTAGGCTGAAGCTCCCTCTCCAAACTTAGAGTTTTTATGATGGTGGCAGCAGAGGGAAAGTTGATAAAAACAAGTTTCTACAGTAGGGAGTACTGTGTAATTGACTTTTCATCTAATGGCAATTCGTCATTGCTTTTAGCTAAAAAGGGATCCAAATTAATTTAAAAAAGTTGTTCAGTGAAGTAATTAAAAGCAAAGAAGACAATGATAAGCCTCAATAATTATCAAACAATTCCGTTTATGAAGTGTCCTAATTAAATAAAGCCCTTGAAGCATGACTTCCTCAGTGTTGTTGAGTGACTTCATTCAGAGTCAATCAAAATTATTTCCTCTTCTCCCCCTTTTTCTTACTCCTAACAAGAAAGCCCCTCTCCAGTCCTGCTTAAGGATACCACCTATACTCATCCAGGGCCACAACTGTATAAAAGATTGAAAAAATAACTCCTTTTTCTAATGCGCTGAGTGTTTAAAATAAAAAAATGCATGAAAACATTTCCTACTGAAACTTTTCTGTAAGATTCCTTTTCACATAATCTTTAAAATAGATGTATATTGGAATAGATCATTTAGAGAACTAAGTAGAAATAAAAATCTTAAGTCACATAAAAGACAACCATTTATTCTGCACACCATTCCCCTTTTTCTCATTAGAAAATCAAATGCTATAATAACCACCCTGAAATGTTTTCTAGTTGCCTCCTAACATGTAAATTTTTCTTTCTTTAACTTGAGCCTATTTAAAACATTCTTCAGGAATGGAAAAAACTTTCATTGGATTACCTTAACTCAAGGAAGAGTTACTTGCATTTTGTTGCTTATCTATTTTCCTCTGGGCCATAAACCATATGTTATCTTACAACACTATGGGGTGAAGTGGAAAATGTAGGTGGATCTGACTCATTCATTCATTTAACAAATATTTGTTTAACACCTACTCTATGTGCTAAGCATATAAATGGGTACATTTTGGTCCTAAGTGTTCCAGCTTAATTTTTGTGGGGTTTAAAACTTGATGTTCATGATAAGGCCTCAGTGGTGGGCCCTTGAATCACCTCAAATTATGTGATACTTTGTGTGTGTGTGTGTGTGAAAGAGAGAGAGAGAGAGTGTGTGAGTGCACGCTGGTGTACTTTTATGCATTTTTCCAGAGGAAGGGCTATATTTTCATCATGTTCTTAAATTGTTGCTGAATATACATCTTGGGCTATAAGAATATTGCAAAAGGGTAATTTTCACTTTACAACATTAAAATGAGCCAGGTGGAGGTGGCTCCAGCCTATAATCCTAGCTACTTCAGAAGGCAGAGATCAGGAGGATCAAGATTCCGGGCCAGCCTTGGCAAATAGTTTGTGAGATCCTATCTCAAAATAACCAACACAAAAAGGGCTGATAGAGTGGCTCACGTAGTAGAGTGCCTGCTTAGCAAGCATGAGGCCCTGAGTTCAAACTCCACTACTAAACTTCTCCTAGCACAAGAATTATGGGGAGAGGCTCCAGCTAGTAAAAACAAATGCAAATGGAAGAATTTTAAGCTGAGAAAGATGTTAATTTTTTCCTCATAAACAGAAAATTCATGGCTTGACATAATTTTCTTATCTTGTCCTTTTTTCATTGTTCTCTATTCCAAACAACATACTCCTGATGTTTGTCTTCTAAAGTGTTTCAAAACATAACCCTGGACTGAGAGCAGGTACACTTCTGGTTTTTGTGTGTCTTTGTTGATTATCAGGTTTTAGTGAATGGATGTTAATTACAGTCCAGAGATTAGATATAATAACAGCTCTGGGAATGCCCCACCCTAACCTCATTTTCTATCTCACTTAGCCATCTGTCTTACTCATATTTTTTTTAATGCACTTTTACTCCCAAGCCCTTTAAGGCCAAGCACTCAATCTCTACTCACAATTTGCAAATGGAAGAATAATTCCCATAATTTGGGATTACCACCCTAGTAATGTCAACTGGAACTTCCTCCTCTTGGCTAAAAGTCCTCCTAACGGTAAAAGTTGGTACCTTCCCCTCCTCCTATCTTTGCTTTTGGAGGAGAGAAAACGCAAAACTGTGAACAGGAGCATAATCACTGTGGACAAACGCTATTGAAGTGTTTCCTCAATAGAGGGATGAAAGAGATAGAATTGAATTTTACTAATTTTCTCTAATGACAGGGAGCAAGGATTGGAATAAAATGTGATAAAAGAACAACCACAGCCGAAAACAAATATCTCCCCTCATTCTATCCAAGACTGAAGCAGATTTCCCACTTCCTCCGCCTCCAGCTCGCAGCGATTGCCCACTGTCTAGGTGGTTAGCGTTAGACTGGGATCAATGTGGCTTCCAGCGCGCTGTAGCTGTTGCAGACTTGCATTCAGCCGCTACGATTCCCCGACTGTCGTTTTCCGGAATGGCGATTAAGGCTTTAGTCTAATATTCGTGAGTGCCTGGTTGGTGGGAGGGTTGTTGTCTAGTATTCTATGCCAGATTTTAGTGCTGTAACCTTCTCATCTGTCTCAATGCTTGCATTGAGGGAAAAGAGCTTGGAAGAAGGCAAGTGGTATTGAGAACAACTTGCCTCTGCTAAATTGGGCAAAGAAAACTAGAGCTTCCTTGAGAGGTCTGGGTGACCAGGTTGCTTTGAGGTGGGAACCTTAGTAGCTAAACTGGACGGTCTGTTGCCAGCCAAACACCATGAACCTAAACTGAGCATCACCAGCTTTTGGAGGGTGCTGCCCAAACAGGATGGTGAAAGATTTGGAAATACATCAGACATCAGTGCTTGAACGTGGGGGAACCACATTGGGACATCATAACTGTGCTCTTACCGCGTCCACCCATTGAGCTTTTCTGTGCATCTTTTTTCCCATCTGGGCAACTGCAGGATTGGATCCTGATCTTTCTAACTCATCATGCCAGCTTTCCCTGCGCTTACTTCCTTGCCTAATCAGGGAATGGGGAAAAACAACCCCCTAGGGGAGTTTTAGTCCAGAGCGCCGCTTTTAGGGAGCTTTGAGCCCAGGCATATGCGGGGGAGGTATTAATGGGCCAGCCAGCTACGTAGGAGTCTCCTCAGCTAAATTCTCCCTCCCAAGAGAGGCCTGAGAAGTAGGAGGGCAGGCAGACCAAGAGTAGAGAATAAGTGAAGGAAGGAAAACTATGTGGGCATTGGAATTGATTACTCACCGGTCACCTGCACGTTCTTGCGCATCCATGCATAGGGGCTGTGGCGGCTTCTGCTGGGAGAACTGGCATCAGCGGTGCCCGAGTCGATGGTCACCAATGACCCGATGGCGGAGGCTGGCAGGTTACCGCTGCTGCTTCCGCCGCTGGTGAGGCCCAGGTTGCTGTAGTCAGGCGAGCCGAATGCTGCGGGACTCGAGGTCATATCGTTCATGGGAGCTGTGCCCATTGTACTGGACGGCCCAGGGTACACACTCCAGTCTTCCCGTGGGGGACTGTAGGGTGAGCTCCAGGCTCCCAGGGATGGACCGTGATGATCCATGCTGGGCATATGAGGATACCCCATGTAGTGTGGGTAAGCCGAGGCTGCAGCGAAGTTGGAGGCTGGCAGTGGACTCCCACCGTTTCCAGAGCTGCCCACCCCCGGGTTGCTGCCTCCTCCCGGGTTCCTGAGAGTGCCCGGGTACATGCCCGCTTCTTTCTCCAAAAGGCAGCTTCCGTACATGGTGGCTTGGTTAGAAAGAAGGAGCTCTTTAAGCCATCCTGAGGTCCCTGTAAGGCCCCAGCCCGACTTTGAGAAGCAATAGAGAATCAATCGGTCAGTATGTATCTGTGCCACAAGCTCCTCTGTGCGCATCTACTCCATCCCAGTTTGTCACCCTGAGGGTTTTCAGGTGACTAGTAGCCCGGTATGGATCGGCCACCAATGGCTGGGCTGACGTCAAGGGGCTTCGGGCTTTTACATAGCATTTGCATTCAAATGAAGAGTCATTTCACTTTCACAGGAACTTGTTCACTCTCTAGCCCTCTCCCGTCGCTCCCGGGCCTTTCTGTCTCATCTTTCTTGATTCCATCCATCTGGTCCCAATAGCACCAGTTTTGAGCTTTTGGAGGCAGGAGTTGCGCCAGAGGTTTCCGACCAGTTCCCTGCAAAGTGAGATGGAGACGTGCAGAAACAAGGCAAAGTCCTGCTCTCTGGGATTCAGCCCGCTCCCTTTTACCGATCTTCCAGAGCCCATCCTGTATCCACAGTCTCCCCTCTGCCCACACTTCCTGGTAGGGATTTCCACTGGGCACTGGCCCAGGATGCCACTTAAAAGGATATCCCCTTCTCCTTCTTATTCCCTCCTCTAGGAAGCGAGCTTTGTGTCCTAGAGCAGATATTCGTTTCACAACTATATACTGAGTATCTACTGTGTGCCAGGAACTGGTGATACCACAGTGAACAAGAGACAAAAATTTCTACTTTGCCTTCCTAAACTTACATTTCAGTGGATGGCAAGCTGAATCAATTTAGTGTTTAACAATTATGAACAAATTAAAGAACAATGAAGAGTGTATGGTATAAAAAAGATATATGGAGAGAGAGAGAAGAGTAAATCACGTGAACAGTCTTCACATTAATCTACTATTCTCAAGTATGTCTTTCTGCCAAGTATGACTTCTGCCCCAAAACTACAACCTAAAATCCATGGCAGTTGCAACAGACTTGAAATTTCCTTTGAATAGTTTCAGTTGAAAAAGAGCTGGGTTTGCCAGTAGATGCAAAGGAACCCAATATCTTGCCTCTGGAAACCAGATCACCTTCTATGTTCCTTCTGTCCACTCTCTCCCCTCCAAACCTAACACAGCTTTAATTCAGGGTATCACCTTCTTAGGGAATGTGCTTCTCCACAGGGTCTCACCCAGGCCAACACTTCCATTTAGTTAATCCCTCTCTGACTTTGGGAAAGTCATTTGACCTTTGAGTTTTATATTCCTCCCCCCTTTTGTGATGCCTTGCAGGGCTTTGCACATACTAGGCAAATGCTTTACCACTGAGCCACATCCCCAGGCCCTTTTCCCTTTTGAAAAATAGAAATCCTAAAAGCATATACACTACAAGGCAGGATTTATTGATATAATGCATACACGCTGCTTAACTTAATGCTTGGCACAGTGTGGGGTCACTATGTCTGTTTACTCAACGAGTACTAGGTGCTGTTCTGTGCATGGAGACATCTGTAGTGACACACAAAGGTTCTGAACTTATTAGCTTATATTTGGGGAGACACATTAATAAGTATTTGAATTTTATGGTGTGTTAGACAGTAATACATGCTATGAAGAAAAATAAATAGAAAGATGATTGGGAATGGTGGGGAGGGGCTAAAATTTTAAATGTGGTCTAAGAGAAAGTCACTGAGAAATGACATTAAGTAAATTGAGAGTTGATGGAGAGAGCAATAAGGGGAGAGGATACAGAGGGAACAAGTGAAAAAAGAATGTCTTCTACTGGAGAAACAGTAAGGAACAGAGTGTAGTTAACAAGTAGATATGGTCCAAATGCTAAGCTGGAGTAGGACATGGTAGGTTTTGCTCTAAATGAGGTAAAGAGACCTTGTAGGGTTTTGAGCAGATGAGTGACATGGTCATTAGACTAAGAATAGACTGTAAGCTGGTGGAATGGCTCAAGTGGTAGAGCACCTGCCTAGCAAGTGTGAAGCCCTGAGTTCAAACCTCAGTACTGAAAAATAAAAGACTGTAAGCAGGCACAATAAAATAAGGAAGATCAATTAAAAGGCTATTGCAATTAGGTGAATGGCAGGGCAAGTGGAGAGAAGTGGTTGGATTCTTTATATATTTTGAAGCCTGTTTCATGGAAGGAGAAGAAAAATAAGTAATTGGTCAACAAAGACTAAAGCCATGTGAGCCTTATGCTGGGGGAAGAGACAAAGGGATAGGAGAGTAACATACTTATGGGGACTCTTTACACATGATCTCATTTAATCTTCACAACAGTCTCACAAATTATTTATTATCATTCCTATTTTAGAGATGAAGAGCCTGAGGCTCAGAGAGGTGGCATGACTACTTAAGTGTACACAGCTGGTGTGTGGTAAAGTTAGCTTCCAATTCTAGGCTACTCGACTGCGAAGTGTGTGTTCTTAAAGCAGTACCAGGTTAGTTGTACAATGTCATAGCTTAGGTCTAGGGGCTTGACCTCTATTTTCTTTCTCTGTTCAGAATCTCAGGCCTGGCAGTCAAGACTTTTCACAACATAAACTCAGTAACCTTTGAGTTATTCTCTTTCACTTCTATCTGGAGGCAAATTGGAACACCTGGAAAAGTGTCAGGATAGAGGCACATGGAGGACCTTTAGAAGTTATCAAGCCCAATAATTATCATTTTACACATGAGGAGACTGAGGACTTGAGAGGGGAAAGTAATTTTTAAGGGGGTGAATAATGGACTGTGATTCAAACTCAGGTTTGGCTACCAGATCAGCATTCTTTCCACTAAATATGTATATAATATTTAATTAATATACAATTCTTTCTGCCCAGACTGGAGAGGAAAAAAAAAGCCAGTCAAATTTCCCCTGTTCTACAAGACTCGGCTCCCTAAAGCCTCTTGTGGTGATGCTCCTCTCAGAACATACTCTTCCCTCTTGTACCAACTGCTCTCCCTAAATAACTAAGTGACATTATTTGGTTTGCCTTAGAGTTAGTTATCTCAATCTTTTTGGATTTGAGTACCTTGAAGGGGAATGGGGAGGTGTGTTTGAGCCCAGCAGAATGGAGTGCCCTTGCACATGGTAGGGTCTTGGGAAATATTTATACAAGGTCAATAAATGACCTTGGAACTGTGGATTGGAAAAAAGCCAGTAAGATCATTGCCCAGTGCTTGGCAGAAACTGGCTTCAGTATTTCTAGGGGTGTGTGTGTGTGTGTGTGTGTGTACGCATCTGCGCAGTATGTGCATTGGCTGGGATGGGTGGGGCAGGGAGTCTCGTTTATTTGACTGGAACTTTTGATTTCTTAACCTGGAGATTAACCAGACAGGCAGCATTACTGTAGTGATCTCAGTGCCACTAGGAAGTGACCTCTAGTTTTTCTGAAACTGAGTCAAGTGGGGCTTCAGACTCTGTGAAGACCCTTACTGACCAGGTTAATTGTAAGACTGAGGGAGATAATGAATATGAAATTGCTTTGTAAAAAAAAATGCAGTCTACCTACTTAGGACTGTGGGGATCTGGGTAAACTTTTTCCTTATCAGCCTTAATGCTTGGGAGAATTTCACTGCTTGATAAATATTTTCTAAGACTGATTGACCTCAGTGCTATCAGAGTAGCCCAGGGTTACTCTCCTTCTTATTACACCCCTCTCTAACTCCCTATTCCACCTTCCTGGACCACATTCAGGCCTGGATTGACTATCTGCTAGGTGACAGGAAGAGGAGAATAAGGTTTCTTTGTAATGTGGAGCTTGGTTCTGTCAATCATTGGGCTCTCCTACTTCTGGGAGGGAGAAGAAGAATGCAGAACTTAAATCCTTTACTGATAAGGCAATGGAGGCTGAGAACAGGGCAGGAACTTACTTGAGGCACACACTTGTAGGTGATCTGAGTAACTGGGATTTAAACCCAAGCATAATTGACTGTGAACCTCTATAAGGCACTCCAATTCTTTCAGCCTCAGTTTTCAATATGAAAAATGGGACCAACGACAGAAACCATTCTATAGGGATGTTGGGAGGACTCATTATACCAGCAGTGTGCTCAAAAAATGATCATTATTACTGTCATATCCAGAGTGGTTGAGACTCTACAAGGCACAGGCTTACTAAGCCCCCGTGGTCCACATCCATGCATGGAAGGTGTGTACTGATTGGAGTGAAGACCTAGAGCAGTTTGAATATCTCTTCCTGTTGACTCCTCACTAAAGCTTTGCACTCCAGGTTCTGAACACAGACAACATTTACCCCTCCTCTACCCTGAGTTTCTTGGCGCCTTGGTGATGTCGGTGCTTGGGTCTCTGGTAGGGCAGGAGCCTCATGCCATTTTTGCTCATCTTCATCATCTAGAGTTTCCAGGGCAGGAAACTCTGTAGCATGAGCACCTCTAGGTTTTGGTCAAAGTGAAACCAAGGTGTGTTTTTGAGAAAGATTGCGGTTTCTTGTGGGAATTTGAGTAGTTAGGACAAGTACCCAACAGAATGGTAGAGGAATGTGGCTCTATACTTACCCTGGCCCCAGGACCATTCTATCCAGATCCGGATTAGAACAATAAGAGAAATGAGGAAGGTCCAGGGCTAGATGAAAGCCAAATGATAACATAGTGAAGAAATAGGCTTCTCAGACACCCAAGGAGCCAAGGATGGCTTAACTTTGGGAATGAAAAATTGTGTATGAGGAGGCAAGTGGGGACCAGTGCCTAATGTCAAGATATCAGACATAGGAGAGAATGTACAAGGGAGGGTTTTTGTAGAAGAGAGAAGGAGGGGAGGAAGAAAGCAGAAAGGCCAACCAAAATTGGAAGACATTGCAATCCCAGCATTCTAGGCATGGTAGGGAAATCTTAAACGCTAATCTGAGAGCATAAAAGAGGTTGATTCTCTAAAAGAAGAGGAGAAATGCAGGTCTTGGCTGTCTGCTTGGAGGAAGAGAACCAGAAGCTCAGTTCACAGAGCATGTATTCCAAGCTAGAACCTGTGCTGTGTACTTGCTGGTGCAAACTTCCATCTTC